CGGGTCGGGTCGGGTGTGGATTTATAATTTCACCCGACCCGACCCGAACCCGCACCCGACCCGACTAAAACCCGAATATTTTATTACATAAAAGTCTATCTATGGATATAATGAGCACTCCGTATAATCTCTTGACAAAGTGCTACTAATCTACTATATCAAGTATGCTTTTTTAAATTATTTTTATAATCCCTTAATAAAAAATGAGACATAAAAAAGAGACACAAAAAAAATTAGATTTAATCTTTTCAAAATTATTGGGGTACGTCGAATTGATTATTGGTTAAAAGTCGGGTTCGGGTCGGGTTCGGGTTGAAATGTCGGGTTCGGGTCGGGTTTTTGGCTTAAAAGGTCGGGTTTCGGATCGGGTTCGGGTTTTGGTTTTAAAAGTCGGGTCGGGTTCGGGTATAGTACTATCCGACCCGAACCCGACCCGTTGCCATCCCTAATTAGAGTGCAAAAGAGAGAATATGTGACTAATAATTATAATCGATCAAATTTGGTTCATGCGAAAATAGCAATTTTGATTAGAGTTAGAGAAGAAATTATGGATCGATCACATATTATAAATTCAAAGAACATATGGTATATATCATAGTTTTAAAAACCAGACCGAACCGGCCGGTTCGGACCGCGAACCGGTGATCCAACCGGTCCGGTCCTGCGCTTTAGACCGTAACCTGCTTCGAACCGGCCTGAACCGATTTGAACCGGCCGGTCAGACCAGTCCTCCCAGTTTTTTTTTTTTTTGCTGATTTTTTCCAAAACATGCCTCCATGGAGGTTTGAACCCAAGACCTCTTAGAGGTTTGGTTGAGGTTCTAACCATCCAAGCAATGGTGTTTTTGTTACAAGTTCACATAATCTTTTATAATATTTCATAATTACAAAAATAATTGTATATAAATTCCTTTTCAATTTTATAAATATAATATATATAGCTATGAGTCAAACACAAAATCATTGATATTATTCATACTATTACAAAATGCAAATCATGAAAAAATTTCGTTTTTTAATATTAAACAACTTATTTGAAAAAAATAAAATCAACTCTTCATTTAAATTTTTTTTATACTTTTTTAATATGTAAACTTTATTTTTAAATTTTATAAAATAACTCAAGTATATTAATATAATATTACTTAAATGTTATAAATTACTTTCTTTAGATATTTATAAATGAGAAGTATGTGTGTCTATAGGTATGTGTGTGTGTGTAAATATATATACATATACATATACATATACACACACATATATATATATTTATTTATATTTTATAATTTTTAAATATGTTTAAACCACCGGTTCGACCAGTTGAACCACTGGTTCGACCAGTAAACCAGTACCTTGACCGGTTCGGTCACCGGTCTGCAGTGGCGAATCCAGAAACTTAGACAGTAGGGGGCATCAAACAGGGGTCTGGGGGCAACACCTCCAGACTTTTTTTTTAATTCAAACAATGCAAAACATTGAAAAATAATGAATTTAGCCTCAAAAAATTATCCAAATAGTGAATTTAAAAGTTTAAAGAATAAAATTTCTATATATGGATTGCATTATAACTTAGTTTAATTATTATATATTTTTAGTGTTTCACTTTCAATTTTATTTTTGTGATTTTTTAAAATTTGACTTTAAGATTATACTCTTTTAATAATTAAATATTTACTTTTTCTCATTTTTTTCTCACTTAACACTATCTATTGAAGTTTCTAATACTTTTAATTGGGGTCTCCAATATTTTTAATTGGGGTCATAAATAATATATCTCTAAAAATATTAAAAAATCAAAGTAAAAAATTAGATATATAAGAAAAGTAGTAGGGGGCATGTGACCCCAACACATACACAATACATCCGCCCATGCCGGTCTGGTTCTGAAAACTATAGTATATATATGACACATTTAGTGAAAATAACTAAACCTTAACATCTGGATGCTCTAGCAATAAGACAATTATGTTAGGAGGGACACAAAAGAAAAAAAAGGTTTAATTGGGTAGAGAGGAAATATATAATGATGACTTTCTGGGTAGCTCCCTACGTACTATAGACTGTAAAAAGTCTGATATGGACGGACCAGTGCGAATTTTTTGGGGCGCATTAGAGATGCATGCACGAGCTTGGTGGGTGAGTTAGATTAGATTATAGACACATGGTAGAAAGGATGATGCCACGTGAACTCTTGAACACATCCACAGCTGTGCCTATGTGGAAACTTCCTCTTCCGGACTCCACTCAAAATATTTTCTCATTTACAAAATTTTATCTTTTTTTAAAAAATTATTTTATTTCTAATCTTGGATACAAATAAAAAGTGAAAAATAAATATTCACAAATAAATATTATTAAAATAAAGATCAATACTCCGTATTAAAGAGACCAATTTTCCTAAACATATTGGATGTATCGGCCGGAATTTTAAACATTTTTATTCCTTTAATTTCACATTTTCTTTTTGACTTTTTGGTCTCTCTTTTTCTAAAGGGAAATTTGTCTCATAAATAAGGAGTATTAATCTAATTTTATGAATATTCTGGATACATCCAAGAAAAAATTTAAAAGCATTATTTATTTTTCATCTAAAAATAAACACAAATAATTTTATCTAAGTACTCCCTCCGTCCCATTAAGTGTTACACATTTTGATTTTTAAGCAAAATAAGGAAAGTATATTTTTCCATTAACCTCCCCATATTACCCCTTACCCTAATGTAAAAGTACTCCATGATAGTGTAAAGAAAGATATTATAGCAAGTGAAGTACATGAGGTTTAAGAGTTAGGTAGATATTAGGTTTAAGGGTAGAAATGTCCTTTTTAGTAAAAAGTATAGTTCTTTATGGGACAAAAAATTTATGAAACATGTAAATCTTTTTGGGACGGAGGGAGTATAATATAATACTCCCTCCGTCCCTCTAAGATGTTCTCATTTTGACTTTGAGTGGTTTTTAATGAGAGTTGAAAAGAGGTGAAAGTTTACCATAATACCCTTAATGAAAATGGATGGAGTGTATTAAATGAGGTGGGTGAGGTGTAAATAATAAAGTAAGTGGGAGTATGATGCAACTTATTATGAGCGCGCCTAACACCCGCCGTCCTTTATCCCTATCTCTTTGTCTATAAAAATCATGTGCACTATAGAGAAAATGAATAGCTACATTTCTCTGTAATTTTTTTAGGGTTTGAGAGCATGAAAAACGATAAAAAATTAAAAAAATATCTACAAAGAGAAAAATAAAAAAGAAATTCCTCGCCCCTGCTCAAATCGCTAACCCTCTCTCCAAAAAAATATTCCTCAAGCATACTTTCAAACTCATTTGTCATGTAACAAAGACTTGCATCTATTCTTCTAGAGATTATATCCTCTCAAAATCGTTTCTCTCAACTCTATTCCAGTAAGTGTGCTCGGAGCTGCCCCCCATTATCGGTGATTAGTTTGTGGGAGATCTTAGGCGCGCTCATAATAAGTTAGGGCTCTTTTTGTAGTTTCTATATATATACTGATGTCATCCTCATTGTTGAATAAGACTAATTTTTATCAAATTGTATCAATTTTCATATACTCCGTATATCATTACATTTGTTCGGTTTGATCTTTCAAGTTTTTTTGAAAGAATCCGGGACTTCAATTAAATATAAACTACTCCGTATTATATTGCACTCCCTCCGTTTTCAAAAACATTTCTCCTTCATTTTTTCCACTTTCAACAAAACACTCCCACTTTCTATTAAAACCCCTTTTACCCCTACTTTTTCTTACCTTACCTATCACATCATATATTTTCTCTAATAATCTATTCATCACATCTTACTTATACGCATCACAAAATTGGAAGTCAACTGTAATTTAACACATCCTTATTTTTTCACTTGGTCAAAAGTAAAACTCTTTTCAAGAATGGAGGAAGTTTATATTACGGAGTAGTATAAAAATGATTTCATTTGATTTATGAGTGGAAACTTTAAAAGTTATTTCATTATTTATATAAATTTATACTCCCTCCGTCCCTGAGTGTATGTCCACTTTCAATTTTGCACACCATCCAATGCACTTCTTTAATCCATTTTATCTTGTAATTTGTATATTAAAAGATTATAAAAATTATATATTAATAATCTATATGTTAAGGCGAATCAAACAAGATCACACATGACTATTTTTAGGCTTACACATTGAGATAATTTGATGAGTCAAAGTGCTTAGATGAACAGTTTCAAAAATCAAAAGTAGACAAACATTCAGGGACGGGCCAAGTATATAATAGAGGAGTATTCAAAATAAATAGAGTATTCAAAATAAATAGAGTATAATTTAAATTAAAGAAAGTATAAATATAGTACTACCTCCGTTCCACAAAACCCTTCCTCTTTGGTTTTTTTGCTTTCCACAAAACACTTCCATTTTCTATTAAAAACCACTTTTACCCCTACTTTTTCATACCCTACCTGTCACATCATACTTTTTTACTAATAACCAAACTATCACATCTTACTTTTTTCCATCACATTAAGGGCAAAATTGGAAAGTCAACCAAAATTACACTTTCCTAATAATTTTCCCCAAAGTCAAAACCGGAAGTGTTTTGTGGAACGGAAAGAGTATAATTTAAATTTATAAATAGAGGAGTACAAATTAAGTTAAAGTGATGATTAAAGTCAATTCGATTTTTTAAATAAATCAAATAGACAAATACACTACAATAGAGGAGTATTCAAAATAAATAGAGTAGAATTTAAATTTTTTTAAAAAAAGGATGAAGACAATTCTTGAGGATGCTCCCAGTAGGTCGGATGGCCAAAGTAATTTTGGAAGATAGAGCAAATATGAATTGAGAAAACGAAATTCATATTTTACGTATTAATCACTGAATGTTTACAGGTGAAGGATTGGGTTGGCCTAAAACATCATTAGTATTAGTGCTACAAAAATGGAAACAAGAATTCTGATGACTCACTTTGAGTCAAAAAAATTACGGAGTAGAAGAAACTAAGAAGAATTTACAAGTCCTAGCTAGACCAAGACAACCAGACTATCGCTCTCTGTTACGGTCGTTATTTTGCGATAATCGGAAAACCCATTTTGTGAATCCTTTCCTCTTGCTGCTCTTATTCGATTTCCGAGGGCTCGTCGCCACCGGTTGCTCGGACGCCACGAACGAACTTATCCGTTTCAATGCCAAACCAAGTGTTTCCTCGGACAAGTTGGCAAAGCAAAGTCTGAACCAGCCAGGTTCGGTGCAGTGGCACGATGATCCCGGAGAAATGTTGAGGCCCACTTGGTACACCATCTTCTTCCACAGTTCGATCTCCGCCTCGAAGGTGTTTGAGCTTAGGAGGTGTCTCATGTCCACCCAGCAGAACAATCCTGCGTTGCTCTCTAGGCACTCGATCCCCGCTTCCCGGAGTCCGGCCACCAACATTTCGTGCCTCTCTCTCAACCTCTTCTGGTTCTCCGACAAGTACTTCTTTGTGAATTTCTTGTCGGAGAGCATGGCCGCCAAGAGGTATTGCGTTTGGGACGAGATGAGCCCGAAGCTCGACATTTTCGTTGCGGCGGACACGACCATTTTGTGGTTGGAGTAGAGGGCTCCGATGCGAAAGCCAGGGAGCCCGAGGTCCTTGGAGAGACTGTAGACGATGTGGACGCGCTCCCACACGTCGTCAGTCTTGTCCTTGAGCTCTGATAGAACCTCCATGGCACTCACGTAGGCGGGTGATTCAAACACGGTGCCGGAGTAGATTTCGTCGCTGATGAGGTGGATACCCTTCTCGTCCACAAATGTGATGAGGAGGTTGAGCTCTTCTCTGGTCAATGTCGTTCCCAACGGGTTTGAAGGGTTCGTCACTAGAACCCCTTTCACTTTGAGGTTACGCTTTTGGGCTTCCTTGTAAGCATCTTCGAGGGCGGACTCGGTGATTCTGAAGTTGTTGGAGCTGAAGCACTGGATTGGGACTATCTCGGCTCCGGTCCTCCACTTCAGATCCCTATCGAATCCGGGATAGTAGGGAGTGGGGAGGAGGAAGGCGTCACCGGGGTTGGCGAGACAGAAGATGAGAGTCTCGTTGGCGGAGGTAGAGCCGGCGGTGAGGACGAGGTTGTCGGCATTGAAGTCCACTTTGTTTCCTCGGATTTCGGACATGAACTCAGCCATGGCGTTCTTGAATTCGGGAAGGCCGTGGTAGTCCTGAAAGAGGGCGAGTTGTCTGAAGACGGACTCGCCCTCGGGGTTCTTGAACGCCGCAGCTTCGGGGTTGTGAGCCATCCAGGACTCGAGGAGGTCGAAGGAGAGCTGATTCTCGGCGAGACCCATTTGGATGATGCCTTTTGGGTTCTTGATTTCATCGTAGGGGTTCTTCTCGTACTCTTGCCATCCCAAGAAGTAGGATGAATCTTGTCCGTGTGAATTGTTTGTAATTTTATCAGATAGGAACTTCATTTTCTCTTCCAAAGAAATGAAGCTTAGAGAGAGAAAGAGAGAGAGGAGGAGGATGAAGATTTTGTTGTGGTGGTGAATTGTCCTCTGCCTCGAAGTGTATATATATAGGAAGTGGGAGGAGACTAAGAGGCTGTTTGGTAACTTCTGAATGGGTAAGTGCTGAATCAGTAAGAGGTCTGAACCATTAAGTGCTGAATCAGTAAGAGATCTGAACCATTAAGAGCTAGTATATTGCTTAACTATTCAGAGGCAAATGTCTGATCAATTCAGATAAGAGATATTAACCATTCAGACTCTGTATAATACTTAACCATTCAGAGGCAAATCTCTTAACCATTCAGACTTCTGAACCATTAAGAGGCTGAAACAAACAGTCTGAACCATTAAGTGCTGAATCATTCAGACATCTGAATCATTAAGAGGCTGAAACAAACCGCCCCTAATTATTTGGAGGAGTTAAGTAATGAATGCCACGCCAGATCCAATTGGGCGGATACGTACGATTTATTTTTTGTCCGGATCTTACCAAGCAACTTCCCCTTTCTCTCCCAACAATGAATACTCTCTTTTATTGCTTTTTTTTCTCCCAAAATCAGACAACTTAAGTTTCATTATTCTTTTCTATTTTTAATGATTAGCTATTAAATTATCACTTTTCACTTCATTTATCACTAGATATTCAAGAATAAATATGGATGAAAGAAATATATTCTTTCATATCAATCACAAAATCCTACTTTTAAAAATTTCCAAAACACTCCGTCATGTCTCAAAAAATAGTGGGATAAAAGAAAAAATATTTCTACTATCCCGAATTTATCATCTCAGCTTGATTTTACAGAGTTAAAAAATGTCTTGAAAATTAAAAAATTAATGGTCGAAATTTGTTTAGAACAAAGAAAATACTACTCCGTATGAACCACAAATTCTTTACCATATTAACTAAAAAAAAGTAAGAAAATTAATTCAAAGAAAATAATGAACATTTCCTAATGTTGTTTTTTCTTTAGTGCACGTGTCAAAAAATAGACCAATACATTTAAGAGAGAGTAAAAGGTTGTAGGTCCATTAGGATATGTGAGACCAAGCTACTTAGTAGCTACCTACTTAGTTCCTCCCTGACATCTATCGACGGTCCAGTGCGATTTTTGCGGGCGCATTTGAGATGCATCAACGAGTTAGATTTTGCACATGGCTGTAAGGATGATGCCACGTGAACCCGCGAACTCATGCACAGTCGTGCCTATGTGGAAACTTCTTGTTCCGGACTATCTAACCTAGGACTCCCCTTGTGCTTATTTTTTTTCCCCTTGTGTTTATTTTCCCTCTAAACTAATCCTAATTTTTCAAAACTCAAAATAGGTCGAATTCTTTTTTTGAAACATGACAGGTTCTAAAATGAGAATAAGAAATCTTATTTTGGTATAGAGAGAATACAGAAAACCAAAATCTGCATAATCTGAACCAACGAGTTAGCAAACCGAATTGCTACATTATATTCACAAGCACAACATAATAAAACTACTTAATTAAAACATTCAAACACACCAATTTAAAAATAAAATATGCGGCTTAAAAAGTATTTTAAATGAATTAAATAATAAAAGAATTAAATAATAAAATTTAGCAAAAACAATGAGCCATCCACGCCACATGCATGTCACTGTCCACCGAGCTGTCCCTCTTGTCCCCGATCCATACATGCGTGCAGTAGAAAACAATAAAGATTACACCCAGTTGAAAGCTGAGTGCAAATATATCTAATGCTAGAAGTCATCCGCAGACAATATCACATTCATATACTGTCAAAACAACTTCATGCAACATAATAGTTCAACGTCAAGATTAATTATATTCAATTCATATCTTCATAGTTAACTTGCATTGACCTATATGACTAAGGCTCAAGCTAACAAACTAAAGTTAGAGAACTTCGAGTGGATCCCTCGAGGCTGATGCTTAAACAAACCCAAATTAAAGAAGATCTTCAATAGGCAGGTAAAAGTCTTTACAAAGCTAAGGTAATTTTCCAAGTAGGACAATGGCTCTTGTACGTTCGTTTTAAACCCCAAGGCCACAAGATATGAAAACACACTCTACAAGGCCTAATTAAACCTAACACTTTCCTATTGGTGTTCAACTCACAGTATTCAATTCTGTTCAAATTTGTCTAACTCACTAGGTGATCTATCTCAGTCCATAAACATAATCCACGATTCATCACCAACAACTCAGTTCAATCTAATTCACATTTTAACATATTAAAATAACAAGTAGCGGCCTAACGAGAACCTAACGAGTTGATGTTGCCACCGAATCGGCCCAGCACCCGTCGGACCAACCTGACCGCCCCCACCCTACTGTCACTCTCGACCAGCTCAGAACACCGGTCCACAAGCCTATTGCCCCACTGGCCTAGCCAAGTCCATCGTAACCCCCATCCAAACGGAACCAGTCCAACCCAAACAACTTCAAATTCAACCCAATTGAATACATCTAGACCCAATTGAGCCTAATTGGACCGTCCAGCAACTACCCTATTTCAGCGAGCCCATTGTCGGCTTCCCGCCTGTAAGTCTCGTTGGAAAAAACAAATAATTCTCAACCCAAATCATTCCTAATTCATGCTCCTACTCAATCAACAATCATTTCAAACAATTCAACACTCAATAAATCCAAATTTAAAATCAATTGCAAGATTCATACGAATAATATTCTAATCTACGAATTAAGGCTAACGTGAGTTATATGGACCACATCTCACCGCGATTATTGAAGAATTGGAATCAGAAATTGGAAATCAAAAAACACATTGTCGTTGCTCTCTTCTCTTGTCGGCTCTGTCCGCACTTCTCCAAGAACGGCGAAGAAGGCTACGTTGGTGGCGACTGGCGGCGTGATGGCGACGGAAGTTGGCAGCGGAGAATTGATGTAAGACCCCTCTCTAGTTCGTCGTTAGGCGGGCAAGGGAAGGAAATCAAAAAAACATGTAGAAAAAATCTTCTTAAATTGTTGCAAAGTTTATAGTAGGAAATAGAATATTATTAATTAATTCTTTTTCTTTATTACTTTATTTCCTTATTATATTTGTTACTATATATTTTTCTTACTTGGATTGAAACTCCCTCTTGTATAGTAATCCCTATATATATGAAGGTATGATTCAATATTTAATAATATGAATTATTATTAAATTGTATAATGATGTTGGAAGAAAGGTCTCCTTGCTGATCTTGACGCTTTATGTGAACATATTCGTGAATGAAATATTGAAAATGTTGTTATCCATGGTCTCCCTACCAAATATTCTTCATTCAAACAAATCATTCGTCTGCAAAATAGCGACATCACTCTCAATCAACTTTCTAGATGGCTTACTTCAGTGGAAATAAACATTGAGATGGAGTAAAGATTGAAATTAGTTGATTCTTCATCTAGAAGGTTGCATAATGCCCTACTTGCTACAGACGATTGAGGTCACGGTCGAGGTGTCTACCGCGGTCAACCATCCGCTGGATGCGGATATAATAATTCTCTTGGTGGCAGAAACTACGGTTGACTCCCCTCAGAAAATGGTCGACTATCACGAGATCTTCCTATATGTCAGATTTGTGATAAACGCAAACATTTGGCCACTATGTGCTGGTATCGTTTCAATGACTCTTATACTACGAGCTCTTCTAACAATGCACCCGTACGATGCATGTGTCTACAAGCAATCAATTAAGAGATTGGTATCCGGACACTGATGCCAACACTCATGTTACGTCTGATTATTCCCATCTTCAATCTCCTCATCCATATACTGGTCCTGATACTATTATAAGAAGCAATGTTCAATCCTTACCCATCACAAAGACTGGCTCAGGTTTACGGTAAATACCAACTCCCCTCCCTTACATCCAATTTGTTATATTTCCCTCGTCTTAACAAATATAACAATTACACTCTTTTTTTAATGATAATGAATTTCAGATAGTGGACAACTATACCAATCAAGTGCGGTACCTGGGCTCCTGTGAGCATGGTCTGTGTACCCTTCCTTCAAATTCATCCTCCGTTGTGTGTCAAGCTATTCAAGCATCTACCTGGCATCGTAGACTAGGTCATCTGGCTCATGCGATCGCTAAATCTATTTTGTTCTCGTTATGCTTTTAATTTTTAGAACTGATACATTGTGAATCATGTTTTGTCTCTAAGTCATATTGTTTACCCTTTTGAGTTGTCTGAACACACGGCCATGGCGCCATTTCATTTAATACATTCTGATGATTGGTGTCCAACCTCTGTTATTTCTCTTAGCGGTTTTCGTTATTATATCTCTTTTATTGATAATTTTAGCAAATTCACATGGATTTATCCTTTAAAACAAAAATCCGAAGGCTACTCTATTTTTGTTAGTTTTGAAAACATGATAAAAAAATTAATTCAATTCTAATATTAAAATTTTTCAAAATGGCAATATAATAGAATTTGTGAATAGTGCTTTTGGCCTATTTCTTCAATGTTTAGGAATTCAATCTTGTGAAATTTGCACTAAATAGGACTAAAACATAATGACTTTCCTAATATAGGACTTAAACTTTTTTATTTCCTAAATAAGACTTAATAATGACCTAGTGGAAGGAATAATGTCCAATAATTATAGACATTTACTTGAATAATGACTACTTGATAATGACCAAAAGTCCTACATTAGAAAATAAAAACATATAATTTTATATTGGGAAAGTCATTATGTTTTAATTCTATATAAATAAATTTTCCTTCCATCTTTATGTTGGAGAGAACAAACTTAAGGAGAAAAGGGGATCTATTTAAGCTGGGACCCATTAGTCGTTCCACAAATAATGGAGAGTGGAGATAGTGGACGTCATTTGCGCCATAAATAGCCATGACACAACCGCTGACGACAAATATCATTTTTGCAGAACAGAAGAAAAACAAAAGTAGAAAGCCAGATAGGCGTATGATGTGGCGATGAAAAATGATTGATGTGCATGGGAATCATATGGTATTCACATGACAAAGCCATGGTATCACATGCGCCAGTGGGCCAGACGAATGAACAGAAAAACCTCCCCCAGTACTAGGGTAAATTTATTTTTAAAGCAGGGGTACGGTTTTTCTTTTTACGCAGTAACTTTTTTGGCGGGACAATGGGACATTGGGTAATAATTTGCCCTAATTCCATTAATCAAATATTTCTGGAAATCCAATATATATACGGAAGTAAGAGTGAAAATAAATGAAAATCAAAATTTTACAAGTG